ACATGGGAGCCAGAGGATTACTGAAGTAGAGCTGTTTCCCGAAGAGTAGTGAAACGAAAGTGGCGGTGGCCTTGAACGACACTTTGCAGACTAAAGGAACTTAAGTGGTGGGGTGGAGGTGGAAGCAAGGGAATGGGGCTGAATCAAGTCCAGTCTCTTCTATTGATCTTAAATTTTAACTAGTAAAGTGATAGTGAAGCGACTTGCTGCACCCCGTACCATACTGTACGCATCTTGCTGGCGCTTTGCAGCAACTGCTGAAGCACACGGACCAGTCCCATGCCGACCACGCCCTCCTGCTGGACGCACAACGCGAGATCCATGAGCTGGCCGTCAAAATCAACTGCACCAAGATGGAGAGCCTGGAGGCGGAGCAGCAGCAGCAGGTGCTGCGCGACCTGGAGCAGCTCGTGGAGGGCTGCGACTTGGTCGCGCAGGGCCGCGCCTTCCTGCGCCACGACATGGTGACGCTGGCGACGGGCCAGGGCGCGCGCAAGGACCGTGTCATCTTCCTTTTCAGCGACCTGGTGGTCATCGCGCGCACCAAGCGGAACCTGCGCAAGCCGTCCACGTTAGTACCATTTTGGAGTCGGATTTGATCTTCTTCGCATTGAGTTTTTTTTTTCCGTGATGTGCGGATTAAAAGCCCTTGTCTTTGTTTGTCTCTAGGGCGGGCTCGAGTACCAGCGTGGCCAGCGGCCTGGAGGGCAACAGATACCGCTGCAGCATAAAGGCAGCTCTGGACGACCTCGAGATCGTGAAAGGTGGGCAGAACGACGGGCTCTTTGCGAGACCCTCCCCTCATTTCGCAGCCAGCAATACTGCAGTTCGTGTACTCATCTGATCCTTCGCCATCCCCATTCCGCAGCCAAGGACGAGAGCCTGCGCCGCGTCATGCGCGAGATGGAGCAGCTGTCCGAGGACGTGGCCGCGCTCACACAGATCACGGAGCTGGTCTCGGGGCTGCACCTGCCACACGCACAACAGCCAGGGCAGCAACTGCAGCTGCAGCTGGAGGAGCTAGCCCGTGACCTGCTGACCTCATCCTGCCGCCAGCTGGCTGAGCGGCAGAACTCGGACAGTCAGCTGTCCTGCCTCGACCTCACCGTCAACACCTCGTAAGTAGTGTCTGCTCGAGCACGCAAGGCGGGTTGGTTTGGTTACACATCCATACCGATTGATGAGTTCCATGTGCGTTCTTCGTCCACAGGAACGGCGTCGAGAACATAACTGTGATATTCCCCAAGCCTGACAAGCGGTCCAGCTGGGAGGAAGAGTTCAACGAGGCCAAAACCCGTTTAGGTATGGAATGCTGACTGCAGTTGGTTGTCTTCTGATCGGAACGTGCTAATTTTACGAATCTGGCAATATCTGACGTATCTTTCTGATCCCTCAACATTCCCTGCAGCGCTCTCTGCGGACAGGCGTCCCTCCCCCAAGTTTAAGACGTCTGTCCCCATACGCAAAACGCGCGCCGGTCTGCAATTCACCTGCGCAGCTCCGACCCTGCCCGGCCCAGGTCAGCACTAACGACAGGATTTTTTTTAAATCGTCCACTACTTTCACTCCGCGAAAACCGCAATGTAAGGAAATCTTTATCTTACAGCGATGCCCCAGGGCGGCCAGCCTCCGCGAGATGTCTGGGTGTGCAACTCGGACGGGTACGTCGGCCAGGTGTGCGTGCTGTCGCTCCTCCCCGAGCCAAACGTCACATCCTGCAACGGCGTCTGCAACGCGCGCATCCTTTGCGTAGCCGCCATTCCAGCTGGAATCACCGGGTTAGTACACAAACCGGGTCCTACTCGAGGTTCGAGGGTGAGCAGCTTTCTCGCGACCACATCGACAAATGCCTCTTTATTTTCGTGTAGGTCGTCCAGCACGAGCCACAACTCGAACCAGGGGCCGTTAACCAATAGTAAGGCTGTCGTCAGTATATCCGTAGAAGACGCGGACAAGGCGAGTCGCAACCTCCATCTCGACAGGTAAGCGTGCCCCGCACAATCAATGAAGCGACTAACGACGAAAGCGCCTGCAACGCGGGGGATAGGCCAACCCGCCGAGCATCTGTGTGTAGCCGGCGGCCCACCCTGGGCTACGAAGCGCCGCGGGGTGCGGGCGGGGCGCGGGAGCTGACTTGCTGTGGTGCCATATTGTGACGATGTGGAAGCGAAAACGTTTTGCCCTCAGTTTGGTGGTGCCCTTCGCTAGCAATTTATCGAGCGTCTTTGGTCTTCCCCGCAGCAGTAGCTCTTCAAGCGACGAGGACGAGGATAATGACTCCGGATCCACAGAGGAGCGGCAACGACGGCGCTCCAACACTGTGGACTCTCAGCCAGGGGCGCCTCCCCCATCGGTATGCTCAAACGGCAATACGGACAACACGACCTCCGGCCCGGCTGCTGGACCGGGCGTCTCTTCGGGGGTGGTCCCGCCCCCGGGAGTGGAGGTGGCTGCGCCCGCCGGGACGGTGCCCTCCTCAACGGGTCCGGGAACGTTGGGGACAGGGGATGACGGCAGCCTTGCGCAGCCCACCATGTGGCTTGGCACAGAGGACGGCTGCATCCATGTCTACAGCTGCAACGACAATATCCGTATCAAAAGGAACAAGGTCAAGATCCAGCACGGTGCCGCAGTGCAGTGCATCATGTGAGTTTGAGTGGCTGCTTACAAAC